TGTACGACCAAAAATAAAAAACAACCAATCGTAAAATCCTAATGATAACTCTATATTGTATGATTACGAAGTTATAAGCATTTATTTACACACAGGAAAAATTTGGTGCATTTTTTTTCAGTAGGCTGTAGCTCGAAAACTAGTATAACTACACCCCGCGTCCAACCATACAATTTTTTTGCTGAAAATTAATAAAAGTGGAAAATCGCATAAGTGGGAAATAAATTCTTTCATCTTTGAAAGAAATTATTTTCTACTTATGCGAAATACCCTGTATAAGTATACTTTTGATACGTAGTTTGTGTACTTATAGAACAAAAAAAAATCAATTAGGACAAACAATCCATCTATGTAGGATACTTAATAAGTATTTTACCTTAAAAAAACATCAAAAATATAATCAACATAAACTATAACACGATTGGAAACATGAAGAAGGAGCTTTTTTAATAGTGTTACTTTTTATAGTGTAATACAAACACTCGTCACGAATTGGCTTTTACGTTATTTAAGAACCTAATTTACAATAATTATGATTATAATTGTATTCCTACTGTGCTACTGTATATATACAGGGTGATTCAGGAAGCTATACAACAACATATACCATTCGTTAGCAGATCGAAAATGGGTAAAACTCTTGTTCCGGACTGGGTGGTAGATCTCAAAGGTTTCTGAGTTCTAGGGGTTTTAACGAATTTTTACGAAATTTTTACTTGTCCAAGTTTTTTGAATTATAACTTCCATTCTGAAAAAGATAAACTTCAAGCAAACAGTTTCTGAAATGCCTAGTGAAGGCCTAAAAATAGACATGCTGCTTAATTCTTATTTTATTAACCTTCGGAATACCAAGCATTCGAACTCTAGGGAAAATCAAAATTTTTCCGTGTTTTATTTTTTCAGTTTTTTCTAACTGGATAATTTCGTAAGAAAATTTTTTAAATCTTGAAATTTTTTTTATAGAATTTTCTCCAGCTGCTTAAACGTTAATTTAAGCTCATGAATATTAAAAAATTTTTATGGTACAGAAGATATACTACAAAAACCACAAATATTGTGAGCCGCAAATTCAATTAAAATCAAAATACATAATTTAATATTCCTTTATGAAAAAATTTGGAAAAATACGAATTCCTTATCCAAAAAATTTACAAACTTCTCAAAACAAACACTAAATTCTCTTATGAAATTCACCTAATTCAGCAAAAACTTATGTTTTTCTTCTTTCATGTCTATTTCTATCCAATCGCATATTTTAAATTAATTGTTTTACTGGAACACCTCTTTAATTGCATCAACCGTACACCAATTCTAGTTTTTGTAGAAATATGTTGAAAATTCATTAATATCCTTAAATTATTTATTAATTATTTTTTAGCTTAATAATGTTAATACAATATAATTTACAAACTCCATTTTGTTAAAAAAAAATTTAATTTTCTTATTAAAAAAAAATTTTTTATTAGAATAAATGTCAAAATTTGTATGGCATGTCCTTAAAAAATTCGCTCCATCTGGTTAGTTTTAATAACTTCAGATGCCAAATGATGTCTAGATGTCGAAAATATTTTTTTCAAATTTTTAAATTGCACCCAATGTGAGAAAAATGCATTTAAAAATTTCAAACCATATAGGTACCATTTCTTACAAAATTTGGCAAAAATTAAAAACCTATAAATTTTTTTACCAAGAAAAGTTTCGAAAAAAATTTTTTGATTACTAGATTTTTTCAAAAATTTCAAATTTTTTTTTAATCGATTTTTGTTTTTCAAATTAAAAATTTGTATAAAATTTCATTTAAATTTTGTTATTATTTGTTGCATTTCAATAAAAACATTAAAATTCAGATGGTTTATAATTTTCAGAGTGAAATGGCTCTTAAAAATGTCAACAGTTTCTTTTTTTGAGTGACTATTGTCATCAAAAATTAATGATAATTACAGCGCTTAAAATCAATAAAAATCAAAAATAGTGAAAAATAAGAACCATAAAAAAATTTAATAGCACTTAAATAAAAGCCTAAGCAGCTGGGCAAAATTCTATAAAAAAGATTTCAAGGTTTAAAAAATTTTCTTAAGAAATTATCCAGTTAGAAAAAACTGAAAAAATAACCCCAGGGAAAATTTTGATTTTTCCTAAAGTTCGAATGCTTGTAAAATAAGAAGGTTAATAAAATAAGAATTAAGCAGCATGTCTATTTTAAGCCCTTCACTAGACCTTTCAGAAACTATTTGTTTGATGCTCCTATCTTTTTCAGAATGGAAGTTATAATCCAAAAATTTTGGATAAGTAAAAATTTCGTAAAAATTCGTAAAACCTCTGCAATTCAGAAACCATTGAGATCTGGCACCCAGTCCGGTACAAAAGTTTTACCGATTTTTGATCTTCTCACCAATGGTATATGTTGTTGTATAGCTTTCTGAATCACTCTGTATATATTTTTCAAACGCGAAAGTGAAATTTAATGAAAGTTTTAATATTGACATTAATTAATTATCGGAAGAATGCACGTAAGTCACCTTTTTGAAAATATTGTAAAAATTCACAATTAAAACTAATTAAAGAAAGGGAAAACAATAACAATGAGGAATTATGTTATAGAATTATCTAATATTTTCCTCAATTTTATCTACAAAAAACAGACTATAATAATAATTATGAAATAATTATGTATTACATGCAAAAATATTATGTGCTACATACTTATAATACAAATGTGCAAATGTAATTATTTTATGAAATTTTTTTGCAAAGTTAACATAATTTTGAATGTACTAATTCTTTGATATGTCGGAAAACTTTGCAAAATTTGAAAATTTTCAAGGACCGCTATTAAAATTGTATTAAAAAGTTACATTTGTCGAAAATTTCAGTAAAATTTTCAGTAAAATTTCAATAAAAGTTTACAAATTCAAAATCCCTGTTTATGTCATGTGATTCTTAATTTGGAGAAAAATGAATACGAGATTTTAAAAATGAAAAAGAAAAAAGGAAAAATTCATTTAGAACCATAAAAAAATCTTAAAACGGAGCCGCAGAATGGTCATCCCTGGTACACTCATATGAATTTACATCTATATAAAAAATTATAAATTTCACCTTAATAAACAATTTTACTTAAATTTCACTTTGATACTATGAAAATTAACATTTTAATTGCCCAGTTGAGATATTTGTATACTTATATACACAGATTAAATGTTGAATTATAATTATTCATGTTATAAAATTCTAGATTATATACCCTAGTCATAATTTATGATATCAGTTCACTGAACGAAGAAAAAAGTCATATCCCATAGGTTATTCTAAATAATTTCTTTAATAATTTTTTATATACGTATATATATTATACATATCGTATGTATACATAGTGTATATTTACACATATTCATAATTAAATGTAAAATAATCAAAATTTGATTACTTTTTAAATGGACATTACCCATGTAGCTTAAACAATTTAATTTATTAGAATTATAAAATATACTGAATATAAATAAAGGTAGTATAATTTGTTCTATTTATATATGGTTCTCATTTGTATTGTTTATTTGAAAGTGACCTTAATCAATTTTTATTATAAATGAAATATTGCAACCTTTGCGTTCAAGCAACTTGATATTACAAAATGGAATCTAGGGCCACTTTCAAAATAAACGATTCATTTGATAATGGTTTTTTATGTCACCTAAATTATATATAATTCCATATATAACTAGACGCATGTAGGATAATTTGAAATTCATGTTCTTTGTATTTAATCGTTAATAAAATAAATAGTAAAATGACTAGTACATATGTAAGTACACTAATATAGTGCCTCCCAACATTCTTTTAATCGTGGCTCTCTCTCAATTCAAAAAAAACCCTCAAATTTTTTTGTTTCATAGTATGCAATGTTTCATGACTTCATGGTATTAAAAAGAATGTGCAGTATAAAAATTTTGTTTAAGGATCTAATTGAAAAAGTTTATTTAGTAAAAATTTTTTTGATGTAATTTAACTAATTATATCTGATTCCATAACATGTATCTGTTTCGTCAAATTAAATTGCCTATCTCAGTTCTTTCTTACTTTCAATATGACTTAATTTTTAATGATTTTGTTATAAATGCTTTAACGCTCTATTATATTCCCACTATAAAGCGGTCTTCAACGCTTATTTGCTTCAAAGATTGTTTCAACAACACTAGAGATCCTACTCAAAATCAAAAAATCTCAGAGCACATACTTCGATTAGATAGAAATACATTTACACATAGTAAATGTATTTCTATTTAGTGTATAAAATTAAATAAAAATTGTTGATAATTTAATAGACTCAAATCTAAAATTTACGAAACCCAGAAACAATGTCTATGCTGTTTAAAAAATTTTTTTAAATAAATTATATATAAAGCAATATATTTAATTAAATAATTAAATATATAAAGTAGTAAAATTTCGAGGCCCTTACAATTTTACTTTTTCTTTCGGTGACCCCATTAAAATGATCTGAAGCCCACTGGGGTCATACGGACCCCGTTACGAAACACCGAACGGTGAAAACATGTTTAAAAATCAAAGTCTATTTATACACAAATATTCTTTTGATATTTTATTTCCACCTCTTGGTTGTCTCTTTAAAAATCTCAACTCCTATTTATATCTTATCTATAATTTATATTGTAATTTCAATAAAACTACATCTCGTCCTCTTTAGAAAAAACAAAAAAGAAATTAAGTAATTTTCTATTATATTTTAACCCCCAAAATTTTATTTCACGAAAAATATGAATGACGTCATTCTCTAATGTTATGGGCAAAATTTTTTAATAGCAATTGCAAATGTAAAACTTTTAATAAAAAAACAATAGTTTTATTGCAAAATTCTCAATATGATTATTACAATATGCAAATGTAAAATTAATTTAATCAAAATTTAAAAATAATTCAAAGTTTATAGCATTTTTTATATTTTATGTAAAAAAAAATTACCAATATTTTGAATATCTTACCTTCAACACAGTTTTTACAGAAATTTTTATTAAAAATAAAACTCTTTTTCGAATTTATTATAGTTTTTACATTTTCAAGAGTACTGGTGTATAATTATGTATATATGTAAATATATTATGTATATAGGTATATTTTCTATTATTTTTTAGCTTTTCAATTTAAAAATTTTTATGTAATAAAAATAATTAGTCAATAAATTCAATATTCTGCAATACTCGTAATATTTTTTGCATTTTTGGTAATTTAATATTATTTCTTAAATATTCATTAGGATAACTCATAAATGCCTATAAAAATTAAATTCATATTATAATATTTATTAAAGTTATTTTGGTTTTCCCTGGTTTTGGTTAATTATTCATCTATAATTCAATTTTAATCGATTTCTAAAATAACATTAACCCTACCAACCGTATACAACATTATTAATATATTATTTAAAAAAATGGTGTGACACAAAAAATTACATATACATATATTAAATAAAACTAATAAACAGTCCCGCCAAAAATTTATAATTTCTATTTATTTAACCATTAGTACAAGAAATGGTGTTAATTATATTTTGTTTTTTTCGTCCTTATTGTATTATAAACAACATTATATATAAATATATTTCGAATAATTTTTTGCGAAAATAAAAAAAAAAAATTTTTTGAACTATTTACATTTCGATTTTTTTTATTCTTTTTTACCGTTTCTTTTATATGATTAATTTTTAAAAGTTACCACATAACCATATATAAAATGTAAAACTTTATTTAATTAATATTAAACCGTTGTAACAACATTATTCGTAAGCTTTCAACAAATGACTAAAATTTATTTCAAATAATAATCATTTGATGGCCTAGATTCTTCAACGACAAAAAACAAAACAAAAATTCAAAATAAAAATAAAAAAATAATAAAACACAAATTGTTTAACAAAAAATAACTTTTTATCCGCGTAAAGATTTGACATTGAATGCTTAGTACACTTTTAATAAATAAAAACTAAAAACTTTCATTTTCTTTTGGCAAAGAATACCACTAAAAAAAAATCAAAAAAATTCTTATTATTTTGCTTATACATTATATCCTTTTTTCTTACACCAAAGCTCTTACCATTTTTATTAACACAAATGTATTTACTCATACTTAGGTACGTAGGCAAGGTACATGTGCCTATTCCCGATTACATGAATAATATTCTTCATGTAATCGGGAATATAGACCTATAGACATACACATATATAATTATAAAGGAAACTACTGATAAAGCTTTTATTTTTCTATTTTTGAAATAACGGAATTTCGGTAATTTTTTATTGCATAAATTTGGGCAACAAATGTTCATTTTGAGAAATACTAGTTTGTATGCACTTCTACAACTTTTCATAATGCATTTAATACGCTGAATTTATATTGAATTTGAAAAAGTGTATCTCAAAAGTTATTCAATCAACTTTATATTACTATTTTATAGAAATACCGTATTATTATATCGTAAAAAATTTATTATTTTCGAGTCTCACTTTGATTTCATTCATATAAAATGTCAAGAAAACTTGCAAATACTTATTATATTATTTTCTATAATGTGTCAAAGAGTGAGAATTTGACAAAACAGTAGATTTAATAAAGTCAGTGTTCTTTTCTTTTTTTTAAGTATATATTTAGATAAAGCAAAAAAAAAACTTTTAATTTGTTGCTAAAATAATTGTGACGGAGAAATTTTATTTTCTTCTTTAAAGCACAAACATTACAAGTGGTATATATTTACCAGTAAAATATTAAAAAATGAATATGGACACGATAGATATAAAACAATTGGAAGAGGCTGTTATCGTTTTTTATAGGTAACAACATTTTGTATTATACATAAATTATTATCTTGCACAATATTTATCCAAAAAAAAAAAAAATTATAAAATTAGGATTTTGATTATTGAATTCTATATGTTTCACTTAAATTACTTCCTTCAGGTCTACTTCGCAAGAGCAAGCAATTACACATGAATGGTTAACTAAAGCTCAAGCAAGTCCCCAAGCATGGTCTTTTTCATGGCAATTGATGCAACCTGGAAAAGTAATTGAAATTATTTAATTTCTTATATATTTTTTTAATAAATTTGTTTGTAAAATTGTAGACGCAAGAAGTGCAATTTTTCGGAGCTATAACCCTACATTCAAAACTAATGAAGTTTTGGACGGAAGTACCCCCTGAAAATCGTGAAGAATTAAAACAAAAGCTTTTAGAAACAATAATTCAGTTTGCAAATGGACCAAAAATAGTTCTAAATCGACTATGTATTTCTGTAAGTCTTTGTTATCGTCAACTGAATATACACTAATATATTTCAATATACACACGAAGTTATTTGAAAATATTTTATTTTCTTTTAGCTTAGCGCATTTATTGTTCATATGCTAGGAGAATGGAATACAGCTATAGAAGATATCATAAACACATTTAAGAACTTGCAAATTCCTAATGTAACTGCCGATATGCAATTATGGATTATGCTTGAAGTTTTGCAAGGAATTCCGGAGGAGGTAAATAATAGAATTACTTGTAAATTGATTATATTTTTCTGCAGAGAGTATTAATTTGAATATGAATTGTTAACTACTAATAGGCCAATGCGATATATACATCAGTTAAACGTGCAACGCTACGTGTGGAAATTGCGAAAAAGTCGCCAGTAGTTATTCAAACAATTGAATCTTACTTGGAAGCTCAGTTAGAAAGGAAATGGACTGATGAAATGTTTAGTAACATGAGTAGAGCTGTAAAATGTGCTGGAACGTGGATCAAGTAAGAATTTTGAGAAGATTGTGTATAATGTAAAATTAGATATTATGTTATACGTAAATATAGCATTGAATAATCAAAAATAATACTTAATTTTTTGTAGAAATTTGGGATATTGCATAGAAAACTGTGTTAAATTATCGGATATTTTATTAAAAATAACAAACAAATGTTATTGGAACTGTATGCAAGATGAAGAGGCTGATGAATGCATGACTGCAGAAGAGAATGATTTGGCTGAAACATGTCTAAAGACTTTAGTTAGCATTATCATCCAACCAGATTGTCATAACTATCCCAAGACAGCATTTCTTTTAATTAAAATGTTTTTGGATTCATTATGTGGTATAACAAAATCAGAATGCAAGGAAAATAATAATAATGAAGACATTGTTGTGAACATATACACTTTGTTTATATCGGCGATTGAACGTCACTCTCAAATACTATTAACTGGAATAACAACAAGTGATCCGGAACATTCACAATTATATCAAAAACTTGTTCATGAAATTTTGGCATGCACTGATAAACCCGGAATATTCCCGGTTGAAGAATCTTGTAGCACTTTAGCCATGGGATTTTGGTTTATGATGCAAGATGAAGTCCTCTCTATACAAAATACTCAAGATAAATTTGAGCATTGGGCTAAAATTAAGCCACTATATGCTCACTTAACGACAATTTTAATTAGAAAAGCTAGACAACCTGATGAAACCTCAATAGACCGCTGGTGCCCAGATGATTTAGAAAGCTTCCGCTGTTATAGGCAAGACATATCAGATACTTTGGTAAAGTTTTGTTAAATAGTTTTTTTTTCCTTTTTAATAGTTTTTTTTATTTTTAGTTGTATTGTTATGATGTTCTTAATTATTCAATATTAGAAATACTGTCAGAGACATTGGAAGCAGCAAAATCTGAAATGGAAGTTAACCCAAATTCTTGGACAAATTTAGAAGCTTGCATTTATGCTTTTCATTCAATATCAGAACATATTGATGGATCTGAAAAGATTTTTATACCAAAATTAATAAATACTTTATCAGAAATTCGATACAATGCTGTGAATGATAAATTATTAGGAACAGCATTAGAATGTATTGGTTCATATTGCTTATGGTTTCTTGATAATCCGATGTATATTGGAAATGCTATACGTCTTTTAGTTGATGGACTTAACTCGGCACAATCTTCACAAGCTACCTTGGGTTTAAAAGACATTTGCCGAGACTGTCAATTGCAAATGAAACCATTTGCCGAACCTGTGTTGGTTGCATGTCAAAGCGCTCTGGCTAGTGGTAGATTGAAAAATACAGATAGTGTTCGATTAATGTATAGTATTGGAAAATTAATGAGCATGCTCAACGTAGAACAAATTCCAACTTATTTAGATATAATTGTAAGCCCATGTTTCGAAGAATTGCAATTAGTTTGCCAAAGTGGTGCAAAAACTCCTTCAAATAAAATACGAACACTTTATCGCTTAAATATGATATCAACATTATTCTCATCTTTGAACACTGACTTTGACGATGAACAGATTGATGATCTTCACAATACTCAACCAGTGCTTTTAGTTATGCAAAAAACTATGCCTCTTTTCAGGCAAATTGCAGAGGTTTGGATTGAAGAAACGGAAGTGGTTGAGGTAATAATTACACCTTTTTACAAATTAATTTTTTTTTCAACTAGACACATTTGTTTATTTTTATAGATGGCGTGTAATGCTCTAATACAGGCACTTAAAAATCTTCAAAATGATTTTAAACCTATGCTTCAAGATATGTGCTGTTTCATAATTTCAATCTTTCAAAACAAATGTTGTGCTCCTGCGTTAGAAATATCGAAAACGGTTTTAAAATATTACAATACCAAAGTTTTATATGTTTATATTTTTTTAAACTTTTTAGGCAATTGTTCTTTTTTATAAGGATGAAAGTTGCAAACCAATGATGCAAGAACTTTTTATTCAGTCAGTATTGTACACAGTAAGGGTTTTTGAGGTAGGAAACTTGAAATTAATAGTAAAATAGTTTTTTATTGGAACTAAGAAATTTCAGCAAACTCAAGAAAATCAATTTTCAAATATCGCTGATTTAATTGAATCATTCTTTTCAACGAACACTCAAATGATAAAAAAATCACCATCCATATTTGAAAATGAAAATGTGGACTTAAAAAAATTAATAATGTATGCTTTAAAAGCTGTAACTCTTCCTGAAACCGGACCTGTCAAAAATGGTATACAATTTATATCCCATTTCATAATGCAATCACGAAATTTTACAAATATGACGAAAACTGTACTGGAAAGTGGTGAAGAGATTGTAAGATGCACTATTCTTTGCATTGGCTGTTATACCCCTCGGGCTTTGGTTGAATCTTTTGCGGATATTTTTTTGTCAATAAATAAGAAGTATCCCGCTGAACTTGTTGCTTGGATGAAATTATTAGCAACACCAAATTTTCCCACACCAAATGTGGATGATGCAGAAAAATTTAAGTTTATGTCGCAAATAATCAGGTAAATTAATTTTCTTTAATATAATTATTAAATAATATGGAATAATTTTTTTGTAGAGAAAAGGTAAATAAAAGATTATTACAAAACTATATAGCTGATTTCGCAGCTAGATCGAGAGGTTTTGTAGAAAAAATTTAAAAAGTAAGAGATGATATAAAACTGCATGCATAATAATTATTGTAATATTAGAATTTTCCTATTATTGTAGTATATATTTAACCGAATTTCAATACACCTTTCATGTTTTTGTCATGAAAAGTGAATAGATTTAAGTATAGTTCTTAAGAATATTGTGATAAATAGTGTTTTAAAGTTTACTGTTTATTTCTGCTCTTTAAATAATTTTATTACAAATATAACTTTAGTCTTCATTTTCTGAGTTTTAAAAGATCTTTGATTTGTAAACTTTAATAAAAATACAAAAATTTTTGAACTTTAAAAGGAAAAACTGTTGTATTTCTATGCCTCTTCCGAAAGCTTTAATTTTTTTCTCTGGTTACCATCTAAAGATTCATCCCCGTCCTGGGTTGCATTAATTGCGGAATTGTTCTTGGGTCCTACTTCTAGCATAATTTTTTCCAAAAGTGCATTGCCTTCAAATCCAACAAATGTTAACGTCGATTTTTGATAATAATCTGATACCAATTCAATATTGTTTATTACTGTATCTAAGAGATGAGATCTTTCACAATTAATTCCGCCTGCTTCATTTGTCAATATTGTAAAATGCACATGTAAATGATAAAATGAAGGTTGATAGTGTATATGAACCCGAATTTGTGTTTCGTCTAAGTCGTACTTTTCTTTAATTGCTTTATAGCTTGAATCACGAATGTTTTTCAATAGAGGTAAATGGGTTTCATTCAAATCCCTTAAGGATTTCATGCCATGTTTATGTGGCAGAGCTAACATGTATAATGTTTCTTTAGAGCCGTCCCATTTTAAATCGGGTATAAGTATAAACCCAATTTCTTTATCTTCATCTTCAAATATTATACGATCAGCCTCTTGCTTGTGTTCCAATATATTATACACCCACTAAAATTATAATAAAAAAATTTCAAAAAAAATGTAATAGATTTAAAATCCATTTTATTTACTTCCAAACTAAATTTTGAAGATTCTATATATGGTTCTGTAACATTTTTATAAATTACTGCTGTTTCCTTAACTAAATACTTGCGTCGAGCCGAATACTTTTCGATATGCTTTTCAGTGGCAGGATAAATTACCGTTGCTTTTACGCCTAGAAATAATTGAAGAAATTTTAATAAAAAATTCACATACGCAAAACAAACACGTATTAGACACTATATGAAAATGTAGATAATGTAATATGTACCATTCAAATCCGGACTGGGATAAAACATATAGCTTCCATATATATTATTGATAAATTCGGTAGTGTATTTTGTGTCGTGAGAAAAAAATTTGCAATTTGTTTGATCAGTCTCCTTTTGACCCAAATGATTTCCATTTTCATTTTCTGAATTTATTTCACTTTTAGATTCGAAATTGTCCTTTGTAAATGCTATTTTTTCCAATATCACCACAGCTTTATCAGTTTCAGAAATTAAGGGAAATGACCCTAATAAAGTAACACATTTTCTTCCAGTATTATTGTTTAAAAAATTTTCAAATTTAAAATCAGAAAGCTTATATTCTGAAGCTTGAGTTTCATTAGCTCTAACATTTCCTTTTTCCTGTTCCATAGCTCTGTGTATAATTTCTTACTCAATATTATCTACCGGCAAAATTTTTGTAAAAGCAATTTGTACTATTTTTATTTTGTTTTTGAAGTCCCCTGGTTAAAATATTTTTATTGATTAAATATCGTTGTAAATAATATATTCCTATAGAAATATGATAGATAAAATAAATTTTTTTAAAACTTATTTCATAAAACAAAACTTTTCAATACAAATATGAATTATGAATATCAGCGACTTTTCAAAATTAGTGTTACCTGATGTAAAAGGATTAGTAAACGTCTAAGCGCGTATTTGGCATGTTATCATGTGAATTATGTTGATAAGTTTCAAGCGAAACGTATTTAATGCATTTCTAATATAAATATAAAAGAATTTAATTTGAGTTTTGAAGATTTTTGACAAAATACTCCAAAGTTTAGGTCTATGTAATTTAATCAAATGAGATATAATACTAACTTATCCACTTTAGAAAATTTATTCATCAAATTAAAATAATAATGCGTACAACATGTAAACTTGTTTTCTCAAATTAAACTATTGTTTAGATAATTTCTCTTTCATTTTACATTTTATAGAGATCTAACAAACCGCGTAATAGCTTATCAGAATATTTTTAGAAATATTATTTCATTTATAAGATGTGCAGTAGATAATTAAATATGGCGCTATGTCTACTCAGTGTGCGTGCAAAAATTGAGAGTCTCTGTTTTATAACTTGCTATCTATTTTTCTTTTTTGGCAATTGCCGATTGTCAATATCAAACGTCAAATTTTCAAAACATTGCAAAGGAAAATAAAATTAGACTTTTTTTTTATTTTTAAAGTTATCGTTATTGTATTTTAGGGTTTTTTTCAGATAAGGAAAATTATGAAGACTATTTCCGGTTTTGCATTTAGAGAACAAGAAAAGTAGCAAATCAATGGTAATAAATTTCAAATCGCTATATAAATTCATGTGCCTGACTTAGAATTATACACAAATGCGGATTTTGCTTATCACGGTTTATAAAAGCGAGGTGAATATTACATCCCTTTAAAAGTTATATCTACAAATTTTAATCAAATTACTGTGCTCAGATAAGATAATTAAAAATAAACGATGAAAGCTTGAATTTTAAAAGGTAAGTCCTTTAAATATTGATTCCTATACATACACGCATACACACAGTTTCCCTATTTTAGTACGCAAGACCAAAAACCGAAGGTATTAATTTCAGAAATTTAATAATGGATGTAAATGATTATTTTAAGGAGAGAAAGCGTTCCAATAATCTTTATATGAATAATTTTGAAAATATAATTGAACCAGGATGTGAACCTAGAATGTTAAAAGAATACAAACCAAAATTTGCTCAAACATTCAATAAATACTTGACACCAAACGACTTGAAACTACACGTACTAAGCTCTCCTAAGATTCAAAATTTGATAGATTTTTACGCTGCGAAAACAAACAAAACTAAGAGTGAACTTGAAGGTCAAGTAAAGGATATTTTAGATGAAATTGGTTTAGATCGTAATTTATCTATTATAAGATGTTGCGGAATGTGTATTACTGCAGTTAGCAAAAAGATTTGTTCGGGAATATATGTTAACAAAAAAAGTTTGAGCCGGGTGAAAGAGATAATAGGGAGTAGCCCAGTACTATATTTACCAAGTCATCGAAGTTATTGCGATTTTATATTGATGTCTTATATTTGTTTTCATTATGAAATCGAAATACCTGGTATTGCAGCTGGTATGGGTAAATATTTTGTTTTAAATCTACCTAATTTTCCAAAATTTTACTAACTTGGTGATTGAATATTTCAATTCAAAATTGAAGGACTTACACATTTATTTATTTTATTAGGTTCTCAAACTTATATTGAAATTTTTATTTTAGATTTTTACTCAATGTTTGCGATGGGAACAATGCTAAGAAAAACTGGAGCGTTTTTTATGCGTAGATCTTTTTCTGGTGATGAAATATATTGGGATGTATTTAGAGAATATGTACATGCCCTAATAACTGTTTACCATATTGGTGTGGAGTTTTTTGTCGAAGGCACAAGAAGCCGAAATTTCAAATCTTTGGTCCCAAAGGTTGGTCTATTGGCAATGACCCTGGAGCCATTCTTCATGGGAGAAGTACCAGATTTAACAATTGTACCTATAGGTGTTTCATATGAAAGATTATTAGAAGAGCAATTGTTTGTTTATGAACTTCTAGGTATACCAAAACCGAAAGAATCAACTAAGGTTAATATGACTTTTTGTAGTAAAATAAATATCAATTGAAAAAAAAATTATTAATGGTATAGGGGTTTTTTAAAGCATTGAAAATAATTGATCAAAGATTTGGAAAAATGTATTTGGACTTTGGGGAACCGATTTCTCTCAGAGAATATTTAAAAGATGAGGTAAAGAGGACAAAATACACAAATTTGCCGAATTTTGCTCAAAAACTAGATAAAGATGACATTAATTTGGTTAAAAAATTGGCGATGGAGGTAATTAAATTTTGAAAAATTTTTTATTAGTTCAATCTTATCTATATAAAGGGAAAAAACATTTATTAATAGCATAAAAGTATAGTAAAACTTGATTATATTTTTTATTATAGAGTATTATAACGCAATATGTTGATAAAAATTGTACATACCTAAATAATCAAATTTAGCATGCTCGTAAGCTCGCGTCTCCTAAAAATCGTGGAATTTCTTTTTTTTTAATACACTTAGGTTCTGTCATGTATATCTCTCTTTTATCCTATTATCCGATTAATCTAAAGTTTATTAAAATTTGTAATAAAATATCTCTAACATTAGCTTCATCAAAACTTTACCTATAATAAATGTTACAATACGTGATTCCATATGGGTTCCAAAATACTATGTTATCAGAGCATTTTTGCTTTTACAAACAAAGAACATTTCTCAATTTGCGATGAATTGCGAAAAAAATGTGTTATTAATAACATCAATATTTCTAATCAAAATTTCAGAATAATGACTTTTAAAATGAAGTGCATCGCAAAATAAAAGTGCATTACAATGATGATAACTTGCATTTTATTTTTAGTGCAATACTCACAAAATTTAAAGATTAATTTCAAAATTTCAACATTTTATTCGTTCATAGTTTGAAAGAAATAGATAAAAAGGTGAACATTTGATTATATACACTACATATTTACATATATCTCAATAAATGAATATTTGAATTGAATTTGAATTTGAATTAGCAGGAAATATGATTTTATCAAATAATTTATACGATTGTTGATATTTATTACTAATTTAATTCTATTAAAAATTTTAACCAATAATTCTAACAAATAACTACTACAATAGCTCTGTTAGAATTATTGGTTTGGTAATGTAAAAAAAATTGAATTTTTTATAAAGTTAATCATATAATTTTCTATTAGTACTTTAATTAAATGAAAAAAAAACTTTATAATTTTGATAATAGTAAATTATAAAAATACGTAAATTTCTTATTTACATAATATTCAAACATGATAAGTGGTTTACATACATATATGTATATCTTTAAAATACAAGATTACGAGTAAAAGCTCACTTTCTTAATCTTATAAATTGACTTTTTAAATACATATGTATATAATATCTTAAATAAGTCTAACCTATCTACCATGATATGTGATCCCAAATTAAATAATCTAAAACGATGTTCTATTTATATATTCAAATTTGATATGATTGTTAAATAATCGTAATAAAAAAAAATTTGATATTTGAACGAAAAATGTATGCTTTGCCATCTTATCAAAAATTTTGTTTAAAAGGGGGGTAAAAAAATAATAATATCTTTTCTTTAAAGTACGTTGTTATTCAATTTTAATCTAATTAATTATTAATTTTGCAACCTAATATTAAATTAATATGTGTTCTTTGTTTCATATATTTCCCATCATTTATATTCATATGTACTTTTAGCAAAATAAATATGTACATTTCTAGAAGATTGCATTGCGAATCATATTACCCCTTTTCAGATATCATACTATTCAGGAATACAGGATAGATAGAGGGATAGTAGATATCATATTATCGCTTTTCAACAAAATCTTAGGATTATACATATGTTTTCGACCTACATAAAAAAGAAAGTAATTTAAACTTAATTGCAATTTTATTAAATTTTTTTTGGTCTATTGTAATTTCTATAATATGCAAAAGGAAAGACAATACTTCTTTTAAATTTAGTAATTATTAAAACCTTATAATTGTTCACTAATGCTTATTACGTAGGTTCGTGAATCTTATTATAAATTCTTTAAAAAACTAAATAGTTTAGCTTGAAATTTTATTTGTTGGAGGCACATTACGTTATACTCGTACTATTTATATTTTTGAATAATATTGCGTAGTTAATTATTTTCCTACATCTAGATACATACCCACTATTCAGTGCCAAAATCATAATTTTAAATATCGCAGTTACATAATATTAAAAAATTTTGTATTTCTTTTTTTAATACCCACACAGTATTATGTACAATTCTCACAAAGATTCTATCGTAATAAAAAAAAGCCTTGAATTGACTTTGAAATCATAAATTAAGTTCCTTACGTATTACAAAATTATATACATATGCATATACATATGTATACTTAGTTAAAAAATAAATAAAAGTTCATTGACTTCAAAGAAATATTTGTCATGACATTCGTAAACCATACTATTAACGAATACCAATAAAAATGTATGCATACACCATAAGTACCTCGATATACAATTTCTTTAAAATTTTTAAGGTCATAGAATATGTACAGTATATATATGTATATACATATATATGTATATATGTATATTACTATCACACAAATTACTTAGGCCAAGCATCAGATCATGCAAACTAACATTGCACGAAGCATAAAAAAGAGATCATGTAATATGTGTACGAATATTATGTATAAATACACACATGTACATAATTAAACTATTCCAATCAATTAATACTTTTAACCAAAAAATTAGATGAAATCTAAAAATAAAATTTATAAATATGAAACTATTTTAAAAAAATCCATTTTTAATATTTTAATTTAGTTTAATTATTTTGTTTCATCATGTGTTCGGGTGTTCCCTTTGGGTTCTACTAGGAGTTTATTCTAGCAATATTATACGTGGGTTTTCTTAAAGTGTGTCCAATTCATCCGAGGTCTTCGTTGCTTATGTACATTATAAGCAACGGCATATTACGTATTCTAAAGGATCTATTGATAAATACTTGCAATTTCTGGCTGACGGATTTTGATGTTAGCCAAGTTTCACTGCCGCCGTACATGTATGCACATCTAAAGGTTTTTTATTTATTGTAGCTCTAAACATTGTTGTCTACATATATATATATATAATATGTATGTACATTTATAACATTCTATATTAAATACTTAAAACATCTATACATAAATATTTTGTTAAGAAAAATCAATTCAAAATACATACGTATATAAATATGTACCTTACATACAATAATTTTCAATGATAACAGAAGAGAAAATTTAAAATCATTACTTTATTCCTCTCAAGTTTCTACTTTTATTATCTCATATAAATAAACGCAATCATTTTATGCACATCCACATATACGATCGAATAGCATACATTGGGAATTCCTTTGTAAACAAACAAACTAAAAAATGTTTTGCCATTACTATATGTGATACACGTGTGACTAAATGAAAATTGAAAATTAAAAATTTTTTGGAAAAAAAATTCAATTTAAATTTTTTTTTAAAAAATTATATCTTCAAAACGGAATAATATTTTTTTATCGAATTTTCGGAAATGAATTCATTTTATACATCACTCTCAATCGGTAAAAAAAAAATTACAAAATTTCTTTTATTAAAAATTCTTTGAAAAAAAAAAGGAATTCAACATGCTCTGGATTGATGATCAAGTCTGGTTTAAAATAATTAAATAAATCTCATGTAATATTTTGCAAAAATTTCAATTTTCAGTTTCTTCTCTTTTGTATACGTCAAAAAGAATTCACAGGAGCTAAAAAAGAAAGCCATAAACAAAAAACACCTGTATAAGTTTACCTACTACCTTAAGTAAATAACCGGCTTTTTTTTTAAATTTATTATGGAATAAAAAAAATCCGCAATTCTCAATATTTATTCGGGCATTGTTGGAAGTACAAATTATGTATAATGTATGTATTTAAATACTTTGTATATAATATATTATGTATATACATATGTAAGTACATAATATATGTAACATAAGTAAATGATTGAAAGCTCTAATTTACTTCATGAACACATCATGTTATACATCATCATAGTTGATCAGTCATTGTTGACATCAGTATATAATGGAGTATATAATGCATATGTATACTATAATAACTATATTAATTATATATGTACATTCATATATAAGCATTTTATGTTTATGTTAAAATAAGTTATTTGTTTTCTTTTTTCTTCAGACAATCCTACATTCATAATATTTTGCTTTGTTTCTTTTTTGTTTTTTTCAAATAATAAGCGATTCTCTCTGTTGATATTTTCGTTTCATTATCAATGATAAATTATATGGAAAAAATTGTTTTCACAATATTGTAGAAAATATTTGAATTTAAAAATTATTTTAGATATTAATATCTTTGTAATTAATGATCAGAATTAAAAATGATTTTCGATAAATGATAAGATTTTTTATATATTTTTGAAATATAAAATAAAAATATATGGTTATCTAAGAATGTTAAATAAATTTTCTTATTTTCTTTAAAGTTTTCTAAAAAAAATTCTATATATTATATTTTTTATACAATGTACATAAAATCCAATAATATGGGGTTATGAATTCATCTTTGAATTTTCAATAATTTAATTCTCATAAGGATTCCGTTCAAAAATTAATATTGGTATAGGTACTTATACGTATACCCAATTAATGTACCTAAAATAATACACAGAATAACTATTTTGGTTTACTTAATAACCACTAACTTGTAACTATCATATAATTATGTAAGTATAAAAATTTTAAATTATTTATGTCCTACAATAATTATTACCAATACACGGTATACATATGTACATACATTATATGAAGATCTATAGAGTTATTAAATTTTTTCACTTGTAGGTATATGAGTTTATTAAATATTATTTACAATGAACGTTAAATTATTTTATATTGTAAAAATATTTAAAATGAATAAATAAAAAAATTAATTTCAATTTTATTCAAATTTTATATTTTTTGCAAATCAAAAAACAAAACTCCAAAAGAAAGAATTGCACGTAATTTTTCAAAATAAAACAAGCAAACAAAAAAAAAACAAATTTCATTCCACTTTACTCTAATAAAAAAAAATTATGTCATTCATAGAGTAATAAAAAATTCTTTAAAAAAATATAAGAATTTTTTTATTATAAAATTATTTTTAACATTCATAAAAAAAACGAAAATGTTTCATTTTTTGTTTGGCAGGCAATTCAACCCCACTTATATGTGCCATGTTTACTAACAAAATTGTGGGAAATAAAAGTCTTTCCGAAAGTTCTTTAATAATATTTTAGGAACAAAAAAAACAAAAACTATATTAAAAACACAAAGGCTTAGAATTTAAGTATTGTGTTTAACACGTTAAATTTTGTTGTACAAAAAAATAAAAATTACCCTTTTTTTTCGCTTCAAATTTCGGTCATTTTTATTAATAATTTTATAATTTAGCAATGTATTGTACTTATCGTCAGAGACCTTCAACTTGTGGAACGACTACAGATTTTGAAAATTTCTTTTCCATACATACACAAATCGTTGTATAAGTAATAAATACAATTTATGTACGTTTATAGATCTTGGATATAAATACAAAATTTACACATAAATAAATTATTTTATTAAATAAATCATTTCAAATGATAAAAAGGAAAAATAATGCGAACATAGCTCGAGTCCAGTTAAAGAAGATTCTTGAATTTTTTCTTTGGCTACATCATCCATTTGTTCTGGAGTTGTTTGAAGGAATTTTCATGATTTTTCATGAGAAAATAGGAATAAATAAAAAGGTGCAAATAATTTATGTTAACAACTATAGTCAATTTTACACAATAATGTAAAATTGTTAAATTTTCATTTATTTTTTTTGAAAAGTTTATATAATTTTATTTTAATTGAATAAAAATCCTGTACCATATGGATATTAGAGTTTGATTTAAAAATTTTTATAAAAATATTTAGAAAATATCATATTACTTAAATTTAATTTAAAATCTTGTCATAGAGAACTCCAACACAAATCTTCTTATAATAATTAAATGTAATTTGAATCAAATCCTTTTTTATTACATTTTACGTAAATCTTAAAAAACTAAATTATTTCATACCCTATTTGCCACAAAATCATGGACAAATTATTGTTTATATTTTCCATACAATATTAATACAATATTATAATTTATATTACACCTAAAAGTTATGCTACTATAATAGATTAGCCATATATAGGAAGTTTTCATTTTCTAATACTGAATATTAAAAAAAAAAAATTTAATATTCAAAATTGTAATAGCCATTATGTATGTATGTATGTATATATATAGCCCTTGACTTTAACATTACATGAACTTTTTTGTTTTTTACATTACATAAAACTAAGCATTTGTATAGGTCACATGTAATCAATTTTTAACCCTTAAATGGTCTAATTAAATATTGAAATTATAAATTACGATAAGTACTAAATCTAATTGAAAATGATAAGAATTTAAAATAGGAAATCTTCAAAAATTTTCCAAATTTTACAAGTATTATTAAATATTTCATATCTAAATAGTTTTTTTTGTGAATCTTTTAAATTTGAGAAGTTGTAGTCATTGTAAAATTTAATTTTACATTGAATATTGAATGTTATGAATATTACGTGCATATGTATGTGCATATTTCCACTCAATTTTTATATTTTAATTTAAATAACATTCCTTAAAATTAATTATTAATTGAAACTCAAATTGAATTTATAATTTGTCGAACTTCTATTATTTTTGTTATACACAATCTTTACCATTTAATCGCGTACATATGTATATGTATATGTACATATTTATGTTAATTCTACAAATTATTGTCAACATTATGAGTAATTAAGTAATAATATTCAAAAGATATGTAATATGAATATTATTATAGAGTATACATATGTGTGTATACAAGCGTTATATTAAAAATATCATTCTTAGACAACCCCACTTGATTTTTTGACAGCATAAAATAGACAATGAGTGAAATCTAATTCTGAAAACCGTTTTTAAATTCAATAAAATTTGAAAGAGCTAGAATTTTTTAAAAATAATTTTAAATTTTCTTAAATTCACCACGTGCTCCAACATAATATTGTTTTGATTTGTATTTATTTATCAACTTTATTCAGTTTTCCATTCATTATTATTAAGGGTACTTATATACCTATACTCACACTGTTCATATATAAGAGAACTAGCTATAATAATATCTTGTATAAATATTTATAGATAGTTTCATATAATGTCGAGTATAAACAAAGCTATAATAAATTTAATCACTCAGCTGATGAATTTCACTTTTTTTTTCTTGTTTGCTCGCTATTTTTCTTTATTATGTACATGCCATGCATTTGTATATAAATTGTATATAAATTGTAAAAAGCTTCAACCTACATTTATTTTGTATAAAAGTGTTAGTTAAAAGTTGTATATAAATATAAAAGATTGTATTTAATAGATAAATTGAAAAAAAAACAGGGAGAGGAAACAGAGGAAATCAAGAATATTGCGCTAAAAAGCGGTCATTTAAATTGCGGTAAAGTAAATTCAATAATTCTGAAAATAATTTCTCTATTTCTCTTTCCTTCCTCCGATTTTTTAACTTTTTGTTTTTCTTTTGTTTTTCATTGACCTTTAATAATATTTAATCAATTTTATTTACACTAGTGCATAAGTTTTAATATAATAAATTGCGGTCTACTGTTTGTAATATTATGCAGTTAATAATTATTTATAAAAAATGTATGTATGTATATCTCGTGTGGATATACAGACGACCACAGGTGATATAATTAAGGGTGATTTTCTTACACAATAGCAGCAGAAAATTAATCCATTTCGAATTTTGAAAATTTTATTTTAAATGATTACCCTAATTTTGTAAAAATGAAAATATTAGATTTGATAATAAAATGTTGCATTTTTTTATAAAATATTTCATTAATTGGGTAGTATTGTGTCTTAAATATTAAATGGTTCATTTTGAAAGTAACTAAATTTTTCATTAAAAATGAAATATTGCTCCGATCGCGTATAAAAGTAACTAAAAAATTTATATAAAATATCTCTTTTACCATCTCAAAACATACATGAATTTCAATTCCAATTAATTCCAATCATTTGGACATCATCATTGCTTTGATAATGAAAGAGTTCTTGATTACAAATGGACTTAGGTTACTTTCTATTCAAATATTGAAGTAAATTAATTTTCAGAAATTGAACAACAAGCTTCAAATACTCGCATATATTAAGTCTAAGCTTATATTTAATACAGATTTTGATACTAAAATTTTTACTCTAAATTTGTAACTTTCGTTTTACAGATTGTTTATCAACAACAACAACGAATTGTAATTACAACATTTAATTTGATTGTTCTCTATTATTCCTATTACTCTTATATGGGGAAAGGTGTGAATATTGATAATTTGTCAGAAGGTAATTAAATTCTTTTACTTTTTTTCTTTCAACTTAATTTTTTATTTTTTCCCGTCTAAAGGTGTTGCATTACTTAAAGATGTTTTTGAATGCTTAGGAGCAATGATCGCAACAAAAGACGAAAGTATTAAAGCTGAAATAATTGATACTCTTGAAATACATTCGAATATATTGAAAATGATTCAGGGTCATGTGTGTCTAAATAAAACTGAAATTAATGTATCATCAATAAATATGGATAATTTAAAAGGATATAAATTAAGTAAAGAAATAATGGAACAAGCTGTACCATGTTTAAGTATTCAATTATATATTAATGCATGTATGTATTGGCTATCAGTGCCAGCTATAACAACTTTAAGTGCAAAAAAAATATGTATAGAATATGGTAATGGTTTTACATTGAATTCTTTAAAGATAAAAGTTGAGGAATTGCTATCAATATATAACAATGAATTTGTTATTGTTCAAGAATATAAAGAAGAGGTTAACACATTATTTTATATTACCTATATAATAATATAAAAATAATTTTATTTGTTGTTATTTTGTAGGATTACCAAAAAACTTTAAATCTTTTACAATATTTTAAAGTATTTGAAATTGATAATAATAATAGTAGAGTGCATTTTAAAGAAAACGAAGTTTCAAAATTATTATTAAGTACAATGGTTCCATTTTTATGCATGTACTATCGCTTAACTGAAACAATAATTTTACAAGTCAGTATTAAAAATACTATATTATTACGAATACTGGTACTATATTATTTTTTGTATTATTTTCACAGTTTTCTGAAATTCATTTCACTGAAAAGCAGCTACTAATAGCAACACAGAAGCATATTGAAAGCTTATTAAATTCTCGAACTAAATATACTCATCCATATTGTTTAGCATTGGATAATTTATCAATTGCTATAACATCTTTAGTTAATAATTCAATATTATATAAAATAAAAAATGGAAATGATAAAATTACAAAATATGGGATTAATTTACACGAACTAAAAATTATTAATACTCTACTGGAGAATTATTGTAATGTCTTGCCATTTGATTTTATACCAGCTGAATATAAAATTAATAAAATCTTAGCCAAATTATAAAAAAAAAATACAAAATTATATAATTATTATTATTAGAAACGAATTAAAAAACAGAAAAGCAAATTAGAAATTGTATTTTTTTATATATGTATTTAGATAATCTTGCATTTTGTATTATGTATTATGCTATTATGTACTTTTTTTTATATATACATAAAATGGTTGTTTATATGGTCAAATATTTATTTAAAAATTGTTTTATTATAATTTTTTTTTTTTAATTTGATATAACAAGTTTTTTATATTATTAAAGTACAGCAGTATTTTGAGATTTTTAAACAGAAATCTATGATAAAGTTTTTTAATTTTTTATTACCTGAAGGTTAGAATTTGCACCGACTCTAGAAAGATTACACTAAAATAAATTGGTATTAATCCAAATTATAATACAATATTCTCTTCACATTTTATATAAGATCGAATCATTCAGCTTTGAAACTGCTTGGAAAATTAGCAAAAAAAAGTAAGTCGAAATTCTCATTTCTAACTTAAATGTTTGAAGCTATTTTCATAATTTTAGAAATCTCATTCTTTATAATCAATTTTGCATCAATTTTTCATAGCATTAAAATTATTAAGACAATTAAATTTAATATTATATAAATACAGAATATAATTTATATTTGAATATAAGACAAAATACATGTGAAAAAGACAATTATTAAATTTTATAATATTTTTCTATCAATTTTAATTTACCTTTCTTTTTATATCAAAGGTAGTTGACAGTGACAGTGAAAATTTGTAACAATTTTAAAGAATCCTTATAGTTTTTTTTTCACTTTCTTCTTTTCACTTACATCTTCACTTCTATAATTTGCATAATAGAATTAAAAATGTCCATAATTGTTCTACCATATAACTTGTATTTCTGTTCTAATATTTAAAGTCTATTTAAAAATAAATGTTCGTTTTGATATTAGAACAGGGGTGACCAAATTTTAACAATTTTAACTGTTAAAATTTTTTGTAACTTTCGATAAATGTACCCGAATTTCCCTTTTCATATGTGCGTTATTTATATACATATTTTATAATTACTGAGAAAAAATGTAAAAGAGAAAATGAAACCAACGTTATGTATAACAAATTTTATATCCGTCCAAACTAAAAATGTTAAGACAATGCAAATGCAAATGAATATAAACAGTAGGAAATGATAATAAACCGTAGCTTAATAGTTCGAAAGTGATCCAGACAGATTTTTCATTTTTAAACATTCATTGCTATGCACAATTGATATTGAGTTTTGAAGAAAGTAACTTGTATCAGTCTTATTATAGATATGTATATGTTATTTGTAATGCGACAGTATAAAAAAGTTAACTTTTTAATTCAGTTTTAATAGAACCTCTTGAAAAATTTGAAATTGTGTAAATGTATCACTAAAATATCAAGGACCTTACCCATCCCTGCATTTGAATCTAAGACATATTGTTATTTTTATTTTCAGTATAGCATTATTTTTATATTTCTAATATTAAATTGTCTTTAATTTAATAAAAGAAAGCTAAAAAAGAAACTGCACTTTTTAAAAATGTATATTAATGCTTATAAATAAATAAGATTTAATTTTTATGGTATTTGTAAAGTAACGCAAGAATTTTATTATTATATTATAAAAGTTTTTGCAAAAAGATATATACATACATACGCCATACATAAATAATAAAAATAATTCATTGATGTTAGGTCATTGATGAATACAATTCATTTGGGTCGTATTATAATGTCCGTATATATTAAAAATTTTTTATTGAATTCAATATAGTTAATCAAATTCAATTAAATTTAGAACTTCGGTACAAAAATATTTTAAGTTAGAAAAAAAAGCATATAGAAAAATGCTTCAAACACATTAAAAATCTTAAAAAATGAACTAGTTAGTTCCTCTATAGATCTGCAATAATGCAAAAAAAAAGATTTTAAGATTTAAATAAGAACTTTAAATTCATCAGGTTATATAGCAACACAATAAATGACTTTAAATGACCCTACCCTATTAAGTAATAAGGTATCTAATAAATGTACAGGGTCTGTATGTTTACTTTACCTTAGGAAAATTATAAATAAAATATGTGTGTTATATGTACTATATATGTATTAGACATTTAAATATGGTGTCTTGGAATTTTAATCTGAAATGTCTTTATAATGGTCTCTTATGATGGTAAGTAAAAAATTTTCATGTTATTAATTATTTCAATTCTGATAAAATCGCAAAATAACTGGTTTAAAATAATGAAAATTTTGTTTATTATAAAGATTAAACCCCATTAAACTTTAATTGTTGCACATTTAATTAACATTTAGTTCTTATGTCACACTGGAAAATTCAAATAATTAAACTTACCCGTGCAAGTATTACTATTTTGTTTACACACTATGTACATATGTATACAGAACTATGTATATAAAATAAAATTCACATTTTGTAAATAACTAGAGCTTTAAATCTTGTTAAAAGACAAATATTTTAAATTTAAAAATAAATAAATTAGAACTTCAGACGATTTAATGCGTATACATGTATATAAAATAATAATAATTAATACATAATGTATACATAAAAACTTAGAAACTTATACAAATACAAAAACAAAAAGGTGCAATAATATCTACATAATAAGTAACACTCTTCATTGACGGATCCAATGAAACCCTCCAAAAAAAAAGCTTTTCTATTTTATATTTTTTTATTAAATATTTTTTATTTTTCTTTCGTTTCATTATCAAGGCTTAAACAATACCGTTATATACATGGGAATGTGTGAGTTTGTTTATATACGACTTAAGCTATCATATTCTAAACTTTATATACTCGCGGATATTATTACGTTATAATATTTTATAGCTTTTATTTTTTTTTTTTTTTACTTTTTCTACATTTTCATCTTCTTCAGTTAGTTTTGAAATAAAAATTAAAAAAAAAATAACGCAAAAAAAAAGCACAGGAAACATATAAATACGATGCTCAACCGGTATAAGTTATTCAGTTTTATTGAAAAATTCTTCCAAATGGATACTAAATTAAATCAAAAATATTCACTACGCAATCCACCATCCATTAAGGACCAGGTACGAGTAGAATTTAATTTATAAGTATTTTTTTTTTTAAATAAAATTATTTAAAATATTTGTTAATTTAATTGAACGTTTATTAAGTGAAAAAATATATCCTATAATTTCAAAATATAATGTGCTCAATTTAAATTTTGAATAATAAATAGTGAATTAGTTGGTGATGGAAGAAGATGAAAATATCAAAATTTTACAAAATTATATACTTATTTAATTTGATTGATACATAATTTATTTGTCGCTTGAAAAATTAAATGAAAATAAGAAATCTGAAAATTATTTTAATTAAATTAAACATCATATGTATACGTATGTATGTATGTATATTTAGCTGATCAAAAATGTTTCGCGGTTTAAATTTACAAATATTAATATCTTGGTAGGTATATTAATTTAAAATTTTTTGCTAAAAGGTGTAGTTTAGAAATGAATAATTTCGGTTTTTCAACAATTTTTTTCTAAGGAAAAAATATTCAAAAATGTTGAAGAAAAGCTACATATATATGTACATACCTACATATTTATTTCAACTATATACATATTTATATGTGGAAATATTTAATACCTATATGTACAAAAATCCTACACAATCTAAAATTTTCTAATATAAAGACATTGCACATCTTTGAAAATTTTCTCAGTTAATTTTAATAATTTTATTTAGACAACCGTTTAAAAAGTTTTTATCGGAAAATTTAAAAATTTTCAATGTATAACAACAGCAGTCACTATATAAGATATTTGTTATATGAAATTGATGTAATCTACATACATACATAATATATAACATAAAACATTTACTGTAGTTTAGTAAATGGACATACAACAGTTCTCTTATTATAGTTATTTAATTATAGTTTATTTCTTTTTTGAAGTGAAAATTAAAGAAAAAGAAAATATGAAATTGTAACATTCCTTAAACATTGTTGCAGCGTTCATTAAAAAAAAGAAAATTTCTTTTTGTATATAAAAATAATTTTTTTTAAAATTAATGTACCTATGTATACATAATATGTGTGTACATATACATGGAATTAAATTTGTATATAACTTTTCCAATCACCTTTCTTTAGTTTTCCTTCAGCATAATTGTATGCTTTTTATTATATAAGTATACATATGTATGTACTGTTAATCAAAAAATATTGAAATATATTTGTGTTACTTGGTTATATACAGTTTATAATGGCCTACAAACACAGTTTTATTTATAAAATTATAATAATTATGTACCTATAAGGAAGTATAAAAAGCTTCCGAGAGAATTGAACTATTAACGATACTCGTTTGTTTTTTTCTCTTTTTCTAATATTTTTATTTAAAATTTTGCAAATTTTTAATGTAGTTGATTTTATTTATTTTATATATAATACGTATTAACGTATATCTATCGAATATACAAGTATTTTATGCGCAAGCAAACTACAATTTCTAATATAATTTATGTTATATATAATTTTATTATATAACTATAATTTATGTTATTATACTTATACCTAATATAAAATAGCAGAAAATGAAATGTGTGTGCACATGTGTATGTAGTACATATATACTTAATTAAATGGAATGATATTCTCTTCACACAATATAGTATAATGTACCAATAAATTGGAGAGAAAATAATAAATCTGGTAACAGTGTAGTAAGAGTAAAAAAGAATAATAATTTTAGGAGTAATAATGATACCAAATTCGGAAGAATTGAAAGATAATATTTTATTTATTATAATAGTTTTTCATCAAGGATTATTTAGGGTTTTATTATGTATAATAATGTTAAATATCTTATGAACGTATAATATCACGATTTTTAAATTTATTAACGTAATAAATCAATTAAACGTTTAATTCAATTTTTCATTTTGAAAGATAAGTTCTTTTCATCTAAAACTAATATTTACTTTAAATTAGTATTTGCAAAAATAATAAATTTTACTATTGATTTTTCAAAAAGTTATCAACATATATGTACATTTGTACTTACATACAATATGTATAATTTGAAAAATATATAACTTATTATTATACTTATAATAATAAATACGTAATGTTTAATACACACCCTTAATTTCAATGTTAAATTATTCTCTTTTTTAACATACATTTATGTAACTAAACTATCTATAGGTCGAATCTACCATAAAAATTCATAACAACTCAAATTCAACTACTCAAATTTGATACATTTGTAATCTTTTTACGTTACCACTCTATGACAATTACGATTAATATTGCGAATAATTCTCTCACTTTTTTCCCAATTTTCAGTTATAATACTCGCGCTATTGCTAAATGTTGCGAAATTTTTAAAGGAATTAAATAAAATTAGTAAAAATTAAAAAATCATATTTTTATAATAAAAAAAATTAATCTTCTGAACAGGAATTAAAAAGTATTTAAATTAAAAATGAATTTAATTTTAAAGTTTTTCAATAAAATTCTATTTATATTATCGAAAATAATTTTTTCATTAATTTTAGTGTTTTTTCGTATGTGCAAATTTAGTAAATTATATGTGCCTCCGAGTTTTAAGGTAAAGATAAATTTACATTAAAAAAAAATTGATTACACGGTATAATAATATGTATTATTATTTATTGTTAGAAATATAAATTTCAGAATAAAGGAAATTACAAAAAATCAATTAAAAAACATAGTCTGGCAATATATAAATATACATATATGTATATGTAAATATATTATGTATGATTGTACAATTACATAATACTGTTATATAAAAAATTTAAAGAATTTTATATTGTTATATTATCATGCCAATACACATCATGTACGCATATACATACGTCATTATATGTATGAAAATAATTATACAAATTAAATATATATTTACCTTCAACTTCTATGTTAACCTTGAATTTTAAATTTCTTGAATAAAAAGAACTTCTATTACTTATGAGTTATGACTTATGTACTGCTCTTTGTTTTTAAGCCTATTTACATGAGTGTGAGAAATTTTGTCAACACTATTATTATTTTTTCAAAAGAAAGAATAAGAAGTAAGAACACGTGTGGTAACATTATTTTTGTTTTCAATATTTTTATGATTGTGTGAGTTTAGTTTCTTCTCAAATCTCAATTATTAAAATTGAAGAGAAAATTTGACAATTCTCTTAAATTTCGTAGATAAGTTTTGGAGTGATAATAAATAAAGAGAGAATTGAGAAATTTTCATCTGAAAAGATTTTTGAAAACATATGTAAATAAATATAAACAATTGAAATTTATTGTTGATTCCTGATTAAGAAAAAGCCTTTCATAAAAAACATTTCGATTATAACATTAAAAATTTTTGCCAGTAAATATGTGTTATGATTGAATGCTTTTAAATTAGAAATCTATGTGTAACGAAATTGCTGATTTAAATAATTTTAACTATGCTATTTATTTTCAAAGAATATTCAATAATAATGATTAATAATATGTATACAAATGGTTGGCACACATGTGTACACAATAAAACATCGAAGAAAATAAATGTTTACTTTCTTTGGGGATTTTCTAGGTATCCAAGTTATTTTAAATAGTTTCTTAAAATTTATTTTTGATTAACAGTGGTAGTTAAATATATTTCATATTAATTACATTTCTCTACATGCTATTATTCCACAAAATATTGAAAACGCAATTGATTAATCAAATTTTTCTGAAACTTGAGTTGCCCAAACAGGCGTATTACGTATGATGTACTTTTGAATTAGTGGTAGAAATTGTGAATGAATAAACTTCATTAACTCATTTATTATCCTAATGATATTATTAATCATAAAAAATATGAGTCTCAAAATTAATAAATTGTCTAAATTTTAGATGTATATTTGTTCGCAAAATTTTAGATGTATATTTGTTCGCAATGAATGCCGCAAATGCGAGCTGGCATATGTTTCACTTTATTTTGTATAATTATATAATTTAGTACAAGTAATTTTTACCTTATACCAGTGCTACTTCTACTAACATAAAGGTTCATTTACAAATAACCAAGGTTTTTAATTTAATATCTGCTTAGATTCTTAGGTTTTAATTACAACTTGCCAGACCAAACCTATTGTACGTAGTTTAACTCTCCATTAGATTTAATAGCAGCAAAAACAATATTAGTCTTTCTTCATATTAGGGTGTCAATTAAGGCAGAAAACGTCAAACCTTTCAAAATAGATAACATTTTCAGGTTTAAAACATTCGATTAAAACCTCTACCTGTTAAAATATAGACAGATAAATTGTAGTTTTTTTAAGTTGAATAACGATTTTAAAATAAAGATAAGATAATGATGAAATATTTAATTAACTACTATTAAACCTAAGTTCTATAAGCGCATAGTTTTCTAATTGGTGTTCGAGTAGAAAATGTTATTTATTGAAAAGTTTGTAATAGCATGTTTTGTCATCTTTCAAAACTCTGTAGTGACCGTGAAATATAAAAATCCTTTGTTATTTGATGGAAGGTGTGTTTGTCCGGTAATATATAAATTATCTTTCTTTAATTTAATTTTAAATTGGAGCTCATTCCTTAAATATTTAAAATAAAAATTAGAAATTTTAAATTTAATATTTTTAAGTAAATAAACAAATAAATGATGATCGCGATTAATCATTTGGAAATATTAAATTTGTTTCAAAATTTCGTTACAGACAATTGTTCAAAATGAGCAAAAGGAATTAAATATTACTCCGGCTCATCATGTTGATATTCCTTATGAAAGAGCTACATTTGGCATGGGTTGCTTCTGGGGAGCTGAGTCCCTTTATGGAGCAACAGCAGGAGTTTTGAGAACAACTGTTGGTTATTCTGGTGGTACCACTGAAAATCCAACTTATAGAAATATGTAAGTCTTACACAATTTGGTACTATATTTATTCAATTTGTTTTGAATTTCTAAAGCTTTCATTCCATTTGTTTTATAGTGGTGATCATACTGAAGTACTTGTGATTGATTATGATCCAACTAAAGTTAATTATAATAAGTTGCTTCACTTATTTTGGAATAATCATGAATATGGTCTATGTACAAAAATTAAGAAACAATATGCTTCAATAATTTTTTATCATGATGATGCACAGAAAAAGATTGCTGAAGAGTCCAGAATAAAAGAACAAAAACTCCGCGTGAAGGAAGTAATTAGGACCGAAATTGTGCCTGCAGGAACGTTTTATCCAGCGGAAAAGTAAATTTTTTTTTGAGATATGTTTCTACAACATTGTTAAATGTGAAACTTTTTTTCTTTGAGTAGCTATCATCAAAAATACCGTTTGCAAGGTCATAAAGATCTAATGAAATCTCTTGGAATGCATAGTGAAAGCACAGAATTATTACAACGATCATATGTTGCAACTAAGTTAAATGGTTATGTTGTTGGCTTGGGCGGCGAAAAGCAATTCTTATCAGAAGTTGATACAATGAATTTAACGCCATCACAAATCGAATATATACGTTATTACATTGAGAAAAATGAAGGACAAGGTTTATACTGTTGACAAACTACAAAGGCAACTGAATATCATATAGGAGTAACGATAATTTAGATAGTATTCAAGGGATTTCAAAGGGCGAAGATGTTATAAAAGTATACTGAATAGACCTAAGAGACTATTAAAACATAGAAGATTAAAATGTTAACATACTAACGAGATCTAAGTAATTGTAATATTAATATTATTTTTTTATTGTATTTAATTTTAATGCTTTACTGAGATATTATCTTTTAAGGAAGTATTATAAAACTAATTTAAGTATGTAAGAATTTGAAAAATAAAATTATTTTTAGATATCTATGTTAATGAGTTTTATTTTTAAAGATTTAAAAAAAAAGTTAAACTTGTTGGCAGTTAATAAGAAAAAATATTGTGTTGCAACTTGTAATGTCTGACCAAACTGTACGTTATAAATGCAAATGCAGCGATTTTGTTAATAGAATAAGTGAAAATACCTTACGCGCTTAAAAGCGGAGATGAGAAGAGCTTTTAAACAAAATTTAAACTTTCCTTGAAATTAATGGTAATGTGGTCACAAGCAGATATTCACTTTTCAGTTTTGCAACTGTTTGATTGTTGTAATTTTCTACAAACTGATTGCAATTTTTAGTTAACGCATTCGATTTTCATTGACGCAATAGTTTATTTCCTTAGATGTGCCCGCAACGATTTTACAAACAAGTTGTAAACGCAAAATTAAAAATTCCATATCAACCCAAGCCGTAAAGGTTTTAAAATCGAAAGGGTAAAATGTACAAAATGAAACGGTTTTTGAGTTTAGCTAAATTTATATAAGGCCCAAAAAATCTATAAAATCTCAGATAAACTTATATGATGAAAATTCCATGTTAGGCAAATACGTTTGAGAAAAATGTGACATTATATGTAGTGCTATTAAGTTAATAAACTTGCTTTTAATAAATCTCTTTTTTCCAATTAACCTTTATTATAACACTTTTTTTAGTTTAAAAAAATTAAAAATGTTAAATAACGTAGTTTTGAGAAATTTTTTGATTATGAAATTGATGGTTCTGAGAGTCGATAGTTTATACGAATTGGATATCTTCTAAACATGAAAAACAACTTTGAAATTAACAATGAATTATAACGAAGAATCAAACAAATAAAACTTCAATTCGCTTAAATATTTTAATAATCGAGAAATCTAAATTTAATAAAGCAACAAAACTTATTATTTCACAATTTAAGTTATGTTGTCAAAGTTTAAATTAACATTTCAGATTTTCAGTTTCAAAATTTGTTTCTGAGAGTAGCAGATTTGAAATGTAAAGATATTCTTACAAATATACATGGTATATGTAGTGGATTTGATGCATCCCTGTTGCAAAATTCAAAGGCACTAATTAACATACATACTAACATATTTTTTCAAAGTAAATAAAATTTAAGTGACAGCAATTTTTGACTATTAGACTCAAGGAGAATTGGAAAGTGAAATCGCTTTGGAATTTTGGTTTTAAATAGTTTTTATACAATATAAAATTTGTTTTTACTATTTAGTACTTATTTATTTTTGTAAGGATATTTATTACAATGTCCGATGGAGGATAAAAACATTGATATAGTATGAAATTATACTATTAAATTTGTTAATCTTGTGTGTGTTTCGTTGCGTTAAAAGTTGTATAATAATAAATTAATTTTCATAGGATTTGGTTGCAAAGGAGCAAGAAGAACTTAAGATTCAACCTGTCCATTATGTAAACACTCCTTTTGAAAAGGCAACCTTTGGTATGGGATGCTATTGGGCAGCCGAAGCTCTTTTCGGTGCAACATCAGGAGTTTTGCGAACTAGAGTTGGTTATTCCGGAGGCAGTCAAGAATTTTCTTATAGTGATATGTATGTAAAAGCAAATTCAATTGCCGTTGAAATTTATTTTATTGTTTTAACTCTATTTTAGTGGTGATCACACTGAAGCCGTTGAAATTGAATTTGATCCTTCTATTATATCATATGAGGAATTATTACATATTTTTTGGAACAATCACGAGTATGACTATACCGTTAAAACTAAAAGAAAATACATGTCAATGGTACTTTATCATTCAGAGGAACAGAAAGAAATTGCAGAGCACTCGAAAATTGTAGAACAAACTAAAAGAAGCCCTGAAACTATCCGAACGGAAATTAGCCAAGCAACAATATTTCATCCATCAGAAGAGTAAGTTTCTAGAATTTTGGTTACCAACATAATTTCCCCGTTAAGCTAATCATTTTATATTTATTTAGCCATCAACAAAAATATAGGTTACAGCAACATAAAGATTTTATGCTTACACTGGGGATGAATTCAGAACTATTGCAAAAATCGTATGTTGCAGCTAAGTTAAATGGTTACTTAGTTGGTTCAGGAACAGTGAAACAATTTGAAAACGAAATACACTCTTTAGGATTAACCCCTTCTCAGGCAGATTATGTGAAGTTTTTCTTTTCTAAATTCGAAGGCGTAGGACTTTCTTGCTGATATTATTTTTCGAAAATTTAGATATAAAATCATAAACTATTAAATTTAATTGATTTAACTGTTTGATTCTGTAAATTTAAGCATAAATTTGTTTTATATCACTTTATTATTTCAAATATAAAATAACATTTTTGTAACAGTATAAGGCGCACATATTTAAAAATTGAGACTGAAAATTGTATTCAATTACATATGTATAAAAGTTTTATTACAATTTCCTGAAAATATTAGTGATGAAATGCCTTTAAGTTTAAATAAAAAAAATTTAAAAATCTTCATTTTAAACAGTGCTTTTTTTTTATAACTAATGGGTTATTTCCAAACTTCTCGAACTTTACTCTTTCCGTAACCTATCAAGACGCGCTTGTAAATCAGCATCTGCGTCAGACATTGGAGAAGTGTTTCCGCCACTTCCACCATTTCCGTTGCCAGATCCACCAGCAACTGCTCCGCCTCCAGCAGCTAATGCCGCTGCTTGTGGTGTTTTGGAACCAGTTGCAGCTAACGAACCAGAAGCACTTGGCAAACCGGACAATTGGTCTCCTAACTGCAAGCCTAGTTCATCTAATACTTGTGTAACAACAGCATCAGTTTCTTCTTCGTCTCCTTCATCTTCCATTGCATCATCAATTACTTCATTAATCATTTCTTCCTTCATATCCATTATCTCAGATTGTTTTTCAAATTCATGTAGAATTTTTTGTATTTGGGGCAAATTTAACTGTCGATTCATATTTTGCATTGCTTTGGAGACACCTAAAATATTGAGAAAACACAATCAGTTCAATAAAGTTTTATTCAAACAAATTTTTTAAATTTACCTTTCATAGCCATTGCCATTGAATTTTGAGACTTTAATGTCTGAATTTTAAGAGAAACTGCTTGCACATTGGCTTTCATTAGCATAAACTTTTTAATATATTTACGGGTCCTAACTAGATCTTTCGCCATTATTTTAACTGCATCTATTTGACCATCCTTAGCCATTTTTTTGATGTCAGCAATAATCTTCTTTTCTTGCTGTTCCATACGCATTCTCTCACGGTCTAGATCTCTCATAGCTTTATTTAGTGCTCTTTGATTTTTTCTGAGCATTTCTTCCGGAGTAACTCGTTTCCCAAAAAGCCAATCCATTTTTAAAATCTTCCTATTTAAAATACTTTTGAAAAAAAATCGCAGTAGTTGGAGTTTGTATGATTATATTTGCTTGATGATTCAATTTTGTTTTTTGTTCTTGTTTTGGTTTATAAAAACGTCAATCATCAAAATCACCTTTTGATTAACAAATTTCGATTCTCAGAATTATTAAATAAACAATATTTGACTTAACAGGCCCGTTTACACACGGTTAATATTGCAATTACATATTATATCGTTTAATAATTGCAACATTTAAGAGAAAATGTTTATTTCTATTTTAATTTTCTGAAAAGTTACTTGTAAGTCAGTTAGAAAAAATTTTTGTTTTCCTGCTTTTTCACATGGGAACTTTAACTAAAATAAAAATTAATCAAATAAAACATTTTAAATGAAATATCTTTCGTAAAACAAAATATTTGATGTATAATTGAAAAAATATGATATCAAAGATTGAAAAAATAGAAAACTATTTGATCTATTCTATTTCATTATTATCAGATTTTCTGTCAGATTTTTAATAACAATAATGGTGCAATAATTGCTTTGGTGTTTTTTTAATTTCAATTTATGGCTTGCAAATATTTAGAACATTACTGCCAAGGTTGACATTAAGTTATAAAATAAATTTGAGGTATAAATGTCCATCAAACTTTATTTTAGATCAATTCGTGAATTTAGTTCGAAGTGTAATTGGCACGTAAAAATATCTTGCAGTAATTGCTGTCATTTTTAAAAACTCAATTATGTTCGTTTCGGTTTCGACTTAAGAGTAAGTAATAATTGGAGAGGAAATAACGTTTGTCAAACGTGGTAATTTAAAAAAACGTTCGGCAGCAGCCTGCGGCATTTCTGCTTTTTTAAATAACAATAATTAATTTAAGTTAATTTATATAAATTAATTTTACTAGAATTAATTTGGAGGAATTTCATTTTGATAAATATATAAGTTAAATCGCTCCAATTTTGCATAACTTGTACTTTGGTAATAGCGTAACTAAATATGTTAATAATTTTTCTCGAATATAAAGATTTTTTTCCACAAAGAGTAATTTTTACTTATATTAAACTTTGAATACATAAATGTTGTAGGTTTCAAACATGCCAAAAAATTTGAGGACAATTTTTTCAAAAAATTTTCGAAAACAATGTTGGTGTTTTAAATTTCTCCCATGAACTGTAATTTTATTCATTATGTTGAGCCTCACTTGCTTACAAAAATTTTACTTATTAAGCATTCAAACGAGTTTGCAATCAAACACAAATTATTGCTTTTAGTTGTTGAGTCAAACTAATACACCACTATCAAAGACTTTACTATCATTCTGCTACTCAATTTTTACGAAATGTCATTTGTGTCTATTAGTTTATTTCCTAACTTTACAACAAATTAGTATTCCTGCCAGCCGTGGTTTATTTTCATAATTCGTTGTGTTATTGTTATGAATTAATAAAGCACGTGTAAAAATTTTTTTAAAATCTTTTTAATAGGCAGAAAACGAAAAGATCCCCTTCCTAATATAAAAATTTTACAATTAATTTATTTTTTTTTTTAAATTAAAAAAAAATATTGAAATGGCAAGACGACCAGAACATGCAGCTCCGCCTGAAATTGTAAGAACTTAATCTATAAGTTATGTATATGAACTTATAAAAAATTCTTTTTAGTACTATAATGAAGATGAAGCCAAAAAATATTCCAACAAGTAAAAATTTTTAAATTTTAATCAATAAAAATATATTTATTACGTTTCTTTTAGTACTCGTATTATTGAAATTCAAGTAGAAATGGCTGAACGTTGTGTGGAATTACTTACACTCCCAGAAGATGAATCTTGTCTTCTTTTAGACATTGGTTGTGGATCTGGTCTTTCAGGTGGAGTTTTGGAAGAAATGGGTCATACTTGGATTGGCATTGATATTGCGCCAGCAATGTTAAATATAGCTAAGGAAAGGCAAGTCACTGGTGATTTAATATTAGGAGATATGGGGAACGGAATGCCATTTACAGCTGGCGTATTTGATGGAGCTATATCAGTATCAGCTTTGCAATGGCTTTGTAACGCAGATAAAACTTCACACAATCCACAAAAAAGGCTGTATAAATTTTTTAGTACATTATATTCATGCTTAACTAGGAATGCTAGGGTTGCTTTACAGTTTTATCCAGAAAATGCTGATCAAATAGAAATGATAACGGCACAAGCAATGAGGGCAGGTTTCTATGGGGGAGTGGTTGTAGACTTTCCTAATTCAACTAAGGCAAAAAAATATTTTTTAGTTTTAATGACCGGTGGCGCAGGAGCCTTACCACAAGCTTTAGGTATTAAATGTAGAATATATATTAGGAAATATTTTTAATCTATATAAACGAAATGTTTAATCTTTTCAATTAATATTTTAGGTGATTCTTCAGAAGATAGACAAGTAGCTTACACAAAAAAACGAGAAATGGTTAAAACAATTCGCGGTAAGGCACCTAAGAAATCCAGGGAGTGGATTTTGCAAAAGAAAGAACGAAGAAGGCGACATGGGTTTGATACTAGACCTGACACAAAATATACTGGAAGAAAAAGACAAGAAAAATTTTAAATTGGTTTTTTAGTATAGAAAGTTTTTATGCAAAAATCGGCTTAAAAATTAATTGAACATATTAAGTGGAAAAACGAACCAAAAATTATGTTAAGGAATTTCTACAAGCCATAGGTTGGATTCAAAACTTTAGATCATAAATGAAATATCACTATTAAAAGGCAAAAAATAAACATTTGCCAAATTTCATATATTTGCGTAAATTACTTTAAAATATTTTATTTACAAATTGAACTAGGATTTGTTTTAAATAATTTACCCCTAATTGAACTAGGAATAACTTAAATTTATCTATCTTCACTCTTTTTCTTTGTTTTATCCTTATCATAATCTTTAATCATTAATAAATTAAAAATGACAATGCCTAAAAGAATTGAAAAAAACAAAATTTCATTTTGCGATGTTAGTTTGTATTCACGTTTCTGAGCCTCCTTGACTTCATACCGTTTTTTAGCTTTTTGTTTTCTATCGAACGTTGAACCATAATGAGCTTGAGACCATTCGTCAAAATCATAAATAGTTGTTTTCCCTTCAGCATGGGGGACCTCTGCTCGCTTTTCTCTAGCTTTATAAAATTTAGTTTGTGGATCGTCTTCTTCAAATTGTGGTTCGCTTGCATATTGCGCTCCAGCTGTATGTATGATTCCTAAAAATTATTAAATAACTTGTTTAGTTCTACAAAAATTTGAAGATTTAACTTTAAGCAAAAATCATACCTTTGTCATAGAGCCTCCTTAATCTAAGATTTCCTAAAACTTCATATGCAGCAGTTATCTCACGGAATTTTTTAGCAGCGTCATCACTCCCTGAAAATAGTTTGGGATAATTCAATACTTTCAAATTAAATAAAGTAATTATGCATTAATGTATTTGGATACATAATGTAATATTATTTGAGTGACCTTGACATTCAAAATAGTGTAAATACTAACCCTTATTTTTGTCCGGATGGTAAAGCATTGATAGCTTGTAATATGCAGCTTTTATATCTATAAGAAAAACAACTTATTGAACTCTGATGCTAGAGATATCATTTCACTAACCATTTTGAGTTGCATTTGGTGGTAATCCTAATGCTTTGTAATGATTCATATTAAAAACGCTTATTCGAATTCCTCTTTGTAGTAATGCTAATAAATTTGAAACTGAATGTTGATTTGTGCCTAGCAAAAGTGATCGAGAACATTTTGATGAAAGCATTAATTTTTTTCTTTATATTTATATTTATTTAGGCACAATATTTTTTTCAATAAAAATAACTTATGATAGTGTTGTTATGTCATATTTCATATGTCAAAAAATATTTTTTAACATATGTTTTTTGTTATTAAGGCTCTCAAACTTTAAGTAATAGTTGATGTTCTTTCGAGTATCGATGTAATATTCGTTTACACGAAGTTAAAACTATCTACTTTATTTTACAGATAGCGTTTAGCTTAATTGAAAATCAAAATTTGGAAGTATTTAGAATAGAACATTAAATTTGATAACTTATTAAGAGAAAATAATTTAGAAATCTTACGCGGTAAAATTTAAGGAGCATGTTGTTTCGGAAAAGCAAGTTTACTGTAGGAACTTGACACATTCTATTTTGCACTCTATTGACAGGTAAAAATTTAATTAAATTGTAAACGCGATACATAATATTTTTTTGTGTTGTATTCGTATCATAAATGAGTGGGATCAAAATATACTTGTAGTACTGCCTCATTTATAATGGTAATTATGTATTTATTCAACGTAAGCACGTCAATCGATGACATTTATTGTTCAAAAATAAATTTTAAAATATTTGTAATATTTGCTGCAGAAATTTATTAAAAGGTAATTTTTTATATTTTTTTTATATTTCCTGGTCTATTATTAATTGAAGTACTTCAAATATGCTAAAAATTTTATTTCGATTTTAGAATATTATCATACAACGAATCAAAATAGACTTGAGAGAAATTTAAAAGACTTAAGTGGAAAACCTGAAATGAAAGTGAAGGTTATTCATGTTTTCGTTAATTTATTCACCAACTAAGACATTCGGTTAATATAGCAAAAAAAAAAAGGTTTTAATAAACACAAGTATACGAAATTAATTCTATTATACCTCAAGCGATGTTCTGTTATCTCTTTAAGCTAGAAATATTTAATTTTTATTGAAAACTAGTTTTTTTTATTGAAAGTTTATCAAAATGAATTGCTTACTTATAATTACATTGATAACATTATTTAAATTGGAATTTGGTATAGGAGAATATATTCCACCTGGACCAAGATATAGATGCCCCGAAAAAAGTAATAGTATATATCCATGTAAATGTCTCAAAGGATCGGATAAAGGATTATTTGTACGCTGTGACAATAGTAATTTAGCTAGTCTTACTGTAAGTCTAAATAATATTGCAAATTTAAAATTGCCTGTAGAGAATTTAACAATTTCCAATGGAAATTTTGAAAGTCTTTTTGGGCCAATATTTTTTAAAATTAAAGCTAGAGTATTGAACATAATTTCCACACCAATAAAAAACATTGAAAAACATGCATTTTTTGGGATCAATGAAACTCTTCAGGAATTACATATTATTGGAACACATATAAAGGAATTTCCTGCCGAAGCATTTAAAGTTCTTGGAAATTTAACAGTTTTAAATATTGATAATCATAATATTGAAACGCTAAAAACTGATATTTTATTTGAAAGTTTACTTGTTAACCGTTTGGAAAAATTTCATTTTATCAATGGTTTACTAGAAGAATTTCCGTTTGAAGCATTTCAAGCATTTCGAAAACTTAAAACTTTAGATTTACATGGAAATAACTTATCTGCTTTGAAACGTAATCAGTTTAAAAATTTACGAGAATTAGAAGTATTAGATTTGAGTTATAATAATATAACAACATTAGAGTCATATCATATAGCTGATTTAACAAAATTAATTTGGTGTAATGTTTCTCATAATGCTATAAAACAATTAAGTCGGGGTGCTTTTGCCAGAAACACTGTATTAAAAGTATTAAATATGTCTTACAACAATATTACACGTCTTGATGCTAACAGTTTTCGTGGAATGAGATTTTTAAGGCGTCTCTATATGAGTGATAATCAAATATCGGATGTTGGACGTGGTACTTTTGGTTCAATTACGCGGATTGGTACGATTGATTTAGCTAGAAATTTAATAACAAAAATTGATTACCAAATGTTTGCCCAATTGAATTATATTGAAGTAATTAATGTTGCTGAAAATAAAATTACGGAAATACAAAAGCAATCATTTAAAGATTTATATTTAACGAAAATTAATATATCACATAATGAGGTAAGCACAATTGAAAATTTCGCTTTTGAGAATTGTGCTAATATGACATTACTAGATTTGTCGTATAATAATTTAACTGGAATTGATAGTAATGTGTTTGATTCAACAACTTATGCAACCGAGTTACAACTTTCATATAATTACTTTACAGATATGGCTGGAATACCTTTGCATAATATGACCGGGATAAAAATTTTGAATGCAACACATAATTTTATTGAAACTATACCAAAAAATACTTTTCCAAAATTATATGAACTTCATACAATCGATTTATCTTATAACAAATTAAATTCAATATCAAATGCTGTATTCCAAAATTTATTTTCTTTGCGTTTTTTGAATTTAAGTTACAACGAAATGGAAGAAATAAAATCACCAACATTTGGTACATTATCGACCCTCTTAGAGTTAAATTTGAGTCATAATAAATTAAGAAGTATTGCTAGAGGTGGTATGGCAAAATTAACAAGTTTACGTAATTTCTACTTAAATAACAATGAACTTGAAAAATTATTTCAAATACCGATATCATTAACACATCTTGATTTAAGGTTTAATCAGATCAAGGAGATACCAGAAAATACATGGCCTCGAATGAATTCTTTATTGTACTTGGATTTAAGTCACAATAATATTGGAGATAATATAAAATCAGATAGTTTCACTAGCTTATTAACATTACAAACATTAAGATTAAATAGCAACGGCATAACTAAGACATTTTATAATAAATTAAGTGACTTGACAACATTACAATATTTATATTTGGAATATAACAATATCACACATTTAGATAATTCAGCGTTTGGTAAATTACCAGTTTTATTTGAAATAAATTTATCGTATAATCAAATTCATAATATTAGTAATAATGCATTTAATGGTTTATTACAACTCTTAAAACTAAATTTATCCTCGAACTCTCTGCGTACGATATCAAATAATGCATTTGAGGGTTTGGTTTCATTACGTGACTTAGATTTGTCATATAATTTATTGGAAGGTTTGCATAATAAATCCAAAAGTTTGCTAGAACATTGTTTAAGCTTAGAACGTCTGAATGTTAGCCATAATCGAATCAATCTTGTAAATCGTAAAACATTCCCTTCAGATCCATATATTCCATATAAATTAAATCATGTTGATTTGAGTTATAATAAAATCCCAATTTTAACATTTGATTTAACGTATGGTACCAGAAAGTTGAAATATCTTAATATCTCAAATAATTTAATATTAGATATACGGAAATATATTATTGGAAATTTAACTTCACTGGAAATTTTAGATTTATCTAATAATCGTATTGAAGATTTAGTAACAGAACATGGTTTTGAGAAATTACCAAGAAATTTAACTCAAATTTATTTACAAAATAATGAAATTTTTAATATTCCATTTAATGAATTCGAAAATCTTACTCAGCTTCAAATACTTAATTTAGAAAGTAATAAATTGAAAACTTTCCCCCAACAATTAATTGATAAATTAAATGATAATGGAACTTTCATTTATTATGAAAAAAATCCAATTAATTGTGATTGTAAACTAAGACCTCTACAACATTTTATATTGAAAAAATTTGAGAATAGTAAACCATTATTAAATATAGAATGTGAATCACCCCAACATTTAACAATGACCAAATTAAAAGATATTTCTGATGAACAATTACAATGTATTGGTGAAAACGTTCAAAATAGTGATAATAATACAAATGATAAACAAATGGAAAATGATTATTCACTCCTAACTGATATAGAATTTCGTGAAATATTTTATCATCAAAGCAAAGTTACCATTAGATGGTATGTAACTTCAACTCGAGATGTTTCTGGCTTTTATGTTAGTTTACGTAATGAAAATAATGAAATCTTCTTCGATCAACATTTAATTTATGATAAAAGATTTATTGAAATTCCAGCTGATATTATTAATGAAGCATATTTATCGTCAAGCATTTTAGAAATATGTGTTTTAACAAAGAATAGTTTAAATGTAATTGGACAATGGTTCGATTCGCAATGTATTAAAATTCCAAAAGATTTTAAGAAAACATTGAATATATCCGATGGACAATTTATAATTGCAAAAAAAAATAACAAAAATATTAATGATAGAAAGAATAGCAAATTAAGGAATAAAAGTAGTGGTGCTAATAAAGCTAATATAATTGATATTTCCATTTATATTAGTATTTTGATCTTAAACTTTTTATTTATAATCTTTTAATAATTATGTACCTTGTTTTATGTACAATAATATAAAAAAAAAATTAATTTTAAGTTGCCAAATATTAATATGCTTAATATTTATTTCATTTAAAAAAATATTTTATTTTATTTATTTTGAAAATTTGTAACAGAAGTGTAGAATTATTAAAGTTCGAATTTAAAAAGTTATGAATTTTTAAATTAAAAAAAAAATTTATAATAATTGTGATGATTAATTTTCAGCTTATTATTAATGTATATTAATTAAGAAATTGTGTTTTAAAATTATTACAATATAGCATAGCATTTATAATTTTATAATTGCAATAATCATATGTACATATATAATATTTTAAAAAAATATGAAAATTTAGAAAGAATAATATACACTAAATCTGTGGTATTAAAAATTGTTGTATTAGATGAGAAATTCAGAATATTTTCCAACATTTGATGAAAAATACATCAAATGTTCTGACCGTTTATTATATTCTGGCTGTTATGATTATTGTTGTTATTAATTTAATTTTTTGGTAATAAAATATACATGAATTGTTGTAGTTTAGTTAGAGATTAGATAAAAATTACAAACAGAAACAAAAAAGAAACAGAAATCCTTAATAATTTAATTAAATGACTAAATAATAAAAGTAAATCTCGAAAATTAAATTGAAAATGAAATAAAAATAAAATAATTACCAAAAAAATAATTAGATTAAGTTTTTTTTTATTTATTAAACTGCCTTACTTTATCGCTTCATAAAAATTAAAATACTCGTTATATACCTACAGACTATATTATATAATATACGTACATGTATACGTTTTTTTATACACATATACGTATGTACATTTTTTTTGTATAAATTTCATTGCTGCTGTTAATTAAATAATTTAAGAATTTTATTTTTAATATTATTTATATATAAAATATTTGTTACTAATTTAAAAATAAAAAATTTAAAAATTTTTATTGTGTAAGAAAGAGAAATTCGAATAAAATTTTTTATAAAATATTCACAAAATTAGTATTAATTATATTTTGTGCATTTTGTAGAACGGAAAATATCATTAAAATTTTTTAAAAATAGCATTAAAATAGAAGTATTCTAATGAATTTAATAATTTTTTTTATTATTTTTAGTTTGATAATCCGTCAATTTTATTTCTTAAATCCTTTTATTAAATTGCACTACTTTTTCAAATTTTGCAAAAAAAAATTTGAAAAAAGTGGCTTATTAGTTTCTCTATCTCCGTCCGTTCGTCCGTCCGTACACATATTTATTAAACTTCTATAACTTTTGAGATAGAAAGTTGAAATTTTAAAAAGAAATAAATCTTTACGAGAAACTTAGAAGAAAATTTTTACCTATCTCCTTCTCTCTTAAATTTATAGCTACTAAAAGTCGTAAAAATGCCATTTTTTGACTATTTGTAGGCATGAAACCACAAAAATTTTTTTAATTTTTTAAACGCAAAAAGGTTAAAGCTTCTTCTGCTCGTTAATAACAAAATTACCGTTAAAATTAACCGTTATTTAAGCTATGTTTTTTTATATATTTTCGAAATCGTTTTTCATCTAGAGGGTAAGTTGTAGAATTCTAAAATTTTAGAAACTTTTAGATACTAATAAATTTTAGTTTCTTTTTAGCTTACTCCGTTAGAAGAAAAATTTTTCTCCAAAATTTTTTCCTTCGCAAGGTGTCGCCCTATGAAGTTTAAAAAATTTGTATCTTCGGCGCTTTATATTTGCAAAACTGCAAATTTTTTCAAAATTCTATAAAATTGGAAATCTAACGGTAAATGCCATATCATTAAAAAATATGATTATTTATCATAACTCACGAATTCCGGGAATTCGGCCAATAGATATCGTAAATGTATGCAATAAATTGATTTATTTATTTGTATGTGGATAGTAATTTAAATAATGTAGTAAATTGTTTTTAACAGCATTTAATGTTAATTTTTATTTTACAGTAAAAATTATTTAAAGGATTCAATGATTTTTTCTGAACAACTTTGTTAATAATAAGATGTTTGTCATGCGAATATTTATAACGAAATACATATAAATTTTTTAAAAAAAATTAAAGAAGCGAAAATTTGACGCAAAATTTACCTTGAAAATAAAGTACCTATTTAAAATTAAAATTAAATAATATCGGGTACTTGGTTGTTAAACTAAACTGTGCGTAATCTAGTTTGTAGTAGGTGTGTTATGTTCCTTTTTTGTACTAAGTATAGCTATGATTTGTCCTTGCTTCTTTTGTCTTTGAAAAAATAACTACATTTCTGAATATTTAATTTCCCAAGTCTTTATTACTTAATTTTTGCTCATTAAATTAATTTCTAAGTTATAAAGAAAAATAAATATCGAAATAAATATTTTTATTTAATAAATTATAATTATATAAATATATTATATTAATCATTTACAAACATGATGTTATTCATTGTTATAAATTCATTTATCTAATGCTACAGGATCAAAAAATTCTGAATTTTCTTCTTTATTTTCATCAATAATAATATTATTTGCATTATTGTTATTATTATTATTAAATGAACTAAAAAATCCAAAACCATTTCCATTTTGTGGAAAAACAGGATTTCCACTTGGATCTAAATATTCAAAACCATTTTGTCCCATTTTAATACAATTAAAACGCATTTCAAACATTTCATTTGTTTGACCCATACGAACTACCATTGACCTTGAATTAAAATTTAATAATTTCATTTAATTTTCTTGAATTTAATCTTTTCATTGAAAAAAAATTATTTTACTTACATGCACATATGAACATTATAATCAATAAATTTCATATCAGTTATTTTTAAGCACATTGCTAATGGTAATGGTACCATAATTGGCATACTAAAATAATAAATTTTTAAGATTTCTTAGATTAAGATACTTGTTTTTTTTTTTTTTTAGAAGTAAAATAAATTTAAATACCATAATGGTGCTGGATTTCTTGCTGAAAATGTTTGTAACATTATATTCTGATCATTTATTAAAGCATACACATTAACTGCAGTCTCATCTGGAATATAACTCATGTTGAGGCATACTGGAATTAAAACAAAATTTTATATAATGTACATAATTTACAACAATGTATGAATATGAATAGATTGAATAGGCATCATTTTGTAATTTTCTAAGTTTCTAAAAAAATATTAGGCGAAAAAAACTGTTCGGTTGTTATTAGTATAGTTTTCTTGTTAAAATATACAATCAGATTTTGTTGAAACATACAATAAATCATTATTAGACAATTTTTGTCAAAATTTATTGAAAAACAGTTTCAATGGGGGTTTACGCATCTTGTTTCTTATAGGACCTTTTATTGAATTTTCTCTTATTTTCAAATTGAATGCACCACGGTCATCGTCGTTGAAGTTGAAAAATTTAATTGTATTGTAAAAAAAATGTAATTTTTAATTCAATTAATGTAATACACTTAAATAAAATGAAATTCGAAAACAAAATTAGAAATTTACTTTTCAGCTATAAGAGCCGAATAAAAATTTCTAAAAATTTCAGAAAGCGTAAACCTAAAAGTTATAGATCGCCTTAAGGACTTATGTATGTCTTTTTATATGTGTAACGTTCCGAAATATTTGTATTTTTCTTTTCCAAACTTTGTCTCCACATATTTTAGTCAGAAGTAATTTGCAATTAATCTCAATGAATCACAAAGATTGCGTTCTAAAGGTTGTTGAAGCTCTGCTGTATAGTTTTAATTATATTTATATAATTTAAAAATAACGAAGTTGGTAATGTTTTCTTTTTCTAGTAAATGAAAATATTTAATACTTGAATGTTTTAACTTGTAAAATTGACTATTTTTCAGTTTATGCTCAGAATTTATGGTGTAAGAATTTTGATATTTCAAAAACTGTTAAAATTTTTCCATATCTAAGTTCATAGTTATCTAGCCACATACGTATATATAACAAAATATATCTGACTATAGTTAATATTAATTAAGTATATATTAAAAGTTTATTCAGTTAAAACTAAGTTGCTTGGTTGAAATAACACAAAGTTAAATGTTGTTGAAAATATTCAAAATTTTGATGTTATCAATAATTAAGGTCCCGTAGTTTGCAGATGAATTACAATTAAATTGATATTTTTTAGATTGAACTAGTATTTTATGATATTTTTTATTTTTTTTGTTATTGTAATTTGTAAATATGTATATAATTATGTAAATTGCAATTATATTTTATTTATTTTTTAAAAATAAAAACATATTCACTAAAATTATATAGAGGGAAAGAATTTTGAAATTAACGTGGTATAATGTGTGTGAATTAGTAATTTATTAAACCGTGTGTGCTCTTTTTATAAAATTAGTTGTTTTCAACTTATTTCATTATATTATAGTTTCTAATATTTAGTTAAATTATAGTTTATCTATATGAACAATAATTATAAAAACAATTTTAATAATCACATTTTCTATCATAATTATATTGTGCCATTCTTATTCCTGTACAACATCCACATATTCTATTTTGGCAAGTACATGCTTCTCCAACGAATGGTAATCGATTTTGTCCACAATTATCATCTAATCTAAATGGTAAAATTCTTGGTGGTAAAATTTTTTCTTTTGTTTCAACATTATAAAATATTAAACCATCGTTTGGTATTATTTTACTTAAATCACTACTATCACTTTTAACAATTGAAAATTGAAAATTTATTAAAAACAATAAAATAAATAATAAATATTTATAAAAATAAAATTCCATTTTAATTTTAACAAATGAATTTTTAGAGGACAAAAATGATATTTTTTTTGTTTGTATTTTTCTTTTGTAAATTTTAAAATATGCTAAACTTTATTGATATAAAATATTTGAATAGTTTTCAGTTCGGAAACTCTTAAAACAATGCATCAAATATTCCATGCAACATTTCTTTTATATATAAATAAAAAGTATAATCATAAAAATAAATTAAAAAGAAACAAAAAAGTTGTAATAAATAAAACAGCGGATCTTTTTTTTTATAAGTGGCGCTTAAATTGCACCCATTATCAATTTAAATGCATTTAAACTATATACTTATACCGTTATTAATATGTTGGACTATATAGTTTTCTTAAGCCAGGTGTAAGCATAGAAAGATTTGAAGGAAATCTGAAGAAATTATTT